CAGGTAAATTTTATTTATTTACGTTCAAAATTGTCTAGTCAGTGTTTTAGTTTTCACAATAAATAAATAATAAAATAAAAAACCAATATTTACACAACAACTGTTTATATTACAGTTTTTTTTTATCTATTCTAAGAATAAGAATATGTTTGGAATATATTCACCCATGATAAGTTCTGCATGCATTAAATTGTTATTTATTACAATGTATATTCAGGGAATGATGTAATTTCATAAAATAGAATGAAAACATTTTAAAGCAACGAAGTGTGAAAAAATAATGTAAGTAGATTAAAATTAAAATCCAGAAATTAAAACCGTGAAGTAGATTTAATTAAAATAACAATTAAAAATATGACTACTTTGTAAATACACCAAAATATATCGCTTTAGTTCAAACAATTGTTCAAGTTGTTTCATACTGCGTAAACTAGTGAGGATGGTGTCATAATTTGCAGCCACACCATTACCAAAGAATTAATTATTTAAGATGCAATCTCACGTGGTAATGGTCTCTGGTTTTCCTCATAATTTGAACACTGCAAGTTATGTAATAAATGTGGTCTTTTCCATATTTAAGTGAGCTAAAATCTGATTAAAATTTCTGAGAGATAACTGGCATATTTTAGTTCACCTTCCTCAAACCTGAAAAATTTTACAACCCGTTAAGTTTTTCTTGCTCTTGTTTAGCAATTTTAAGTCGACCGTCAAAATAAATTAATGAAATTACACTCCGCCCTCGTAATGATGTGGGTCACTGACGAGAATAATAAAGACGTAGTGTGGCGTAAAGTAACAAAAATCAAATGTAAATTTTTCTATGAAAGCTACTTGTTAAAAATTTTAATTAACCCGAACCGTGTCAAAGTCAAATTTTGCATACTTAAATTCCAAACTTGGAAAAAATGCAAATTACATAAAGTCAATTTCATGGAGTTATTGTACGATAAAATGATAAAATTTTCATCTCAATTTCCTTAAAAGTTAGAAATTGTAATCTAAATGCTTGTCGCTCAATTTCATAGTTATCTTGTCTGGCTACTTTCTGGAGAATTATTTGCGATAAATTATTGCAAGATTGTTGATTTTCCTATACAAAGTTTGAAGTAAATGATGATATAAGGAAATAGTACTACACCCACCTCTGCGTGGGTCCCCTGGGTTGGTTGTACATACGTATGTAGATCTCATAAAAAAGTTTTCAGTGAAAAGAACTGAAACTTTCATGAAGAAAGTAGCCAAGCCTCTTCTAATAAAATTGAATTTGTTTCGAGGATACAAAAACAAAAGTAGGGTGAACTAGTCTTGCTTTATCTTATCATATTTACGTTCTATTGTCCTACTTGTAGTAATTTCTACTCATCAGTAGTTAAATCAAATCCTTTTTTTCACTTATTTTAAACACTTCTCACCTTATTTTGCAGCAATTTATCGCTTGAGCATTAAAGTTTTATGTGAAACTCAAAGTTTATAGTATCATTGGCAATACACGTAAAATTTTACGATAAAAATCTATAGTTTATTCCAGCAATAACTACTTCTCTAATTTTAAACGTCTTGGTATTTTTAAGACACATCCAAATATTTTCATATTCATAAAATGTGTGTCAGCGGCAGTTAAAAACAAATTAAACAGTAGTTAAAACAAAATTATTCTGTAAAAATTGATAATTTTACTATCTATTGTCTCCAATTTTTCTATTCGCTATTCCTAAAGTTTAGAATTTTATTATTTTAATAATGTAACTCCAATGCTAAGCACAAGTGACTTAAACATGATGAAAAAATATTACAACAGGTTAGAATTTACCGGCGTTTCGAAAAGAATTTAATTCTTTATTGTGAAAATAGGAAAAAAATCGTTTTAGCGAAACTTCACCTGTAGCTTATCAGTTTTTTAAAATTGCTAATTAAATGACGGAACAAAACATGGAAAGACAATTAGATAAATCATCACTTATCAATAATCATCTTCCAATACATTAACTGTTTATACATTGTTAAATTAGCAACAATGAGGTAACTTCTTTTAAAACTGAAATAATACATCGATTAGCCAACAAATTAATTAATTTACGCGCTCTCTTCAAATCCTAATAAATAAAATATGAAAAATGGGCTAATTGCCGCGTTTCTAAGCCTATCGAGGTTTAAATTACTTGTCTAACTTACACCAAATTAATTAAATTAATCCCATGGTTGGTAATTAAAGATCACAGAAAAGCAGCTCAAAACATACACCGTCCACAATCGCGGTCAACGTTTAAACTGAACGTCAGTTAGCTTTTAAAAAGTTTATTACGACTGAGAGACCCATAACACTACAGAGTATACAACAGTTCATGTCAATACCAATTTCACGTGAATTTTATAACACGTCAAACACGTTATCTGATTACGTCGCAAGTGGAACAGATAGAGACGATGGGCAACCATCCAATGGAGATGGGTCATGCGGTACCATAGTTTGTAAAACCGAATACAATTAACATCGAAAAAAGACGGATATGTCCATTGATTTGCTGGGATTTGGGTCCGGGTGCCCGGAATTTTTCCCGGAATTTCGCGCGAAAACTGTTACATAATCATCGATTTATTTACCTACCAGCTCCAGTGACTCTGCATTAATCTTAAAAAACGAACAAAAGTCGAAGCGAAAAGGTCACTCTAAATCAAGACTCTTGAACCAATTTTAGATTCGATTGGAGGGTGAATGTTTTCAAATAATTATATCATGAGAGAAAACACTCTTATTTCGTTAAATTTTTCGAATCATGCCACGTAAAAACTAACATTTGTTTAAAAATAGTGCGAAAACTGGAGCTGTTTTCAAAAATTGATGTTTTAGAAAGAGTGTCCTATATTTCTGTAGTTTATAAATAATCAACTGGGATGGATTTGGAACAGTCGCGAATTAGGTAACTCCAGTTCCAGCCTGTTACAGAAAAAGAAAACAATGAATATAATTGTTACGCACAATGCGTCCAATTTAAGAAACTGTGAAATTTTTTGGTGATTTCTGAAAGAATCTTTTTTAATTACTATTCAAAAAGCAATTGATTTTGTGTTATAAGAATTCAAAATTTTTTTGACCAGTCTGTACGATGACAAAAACACTAATAAGTAAATCTTTGGATCACTTATCAATATGTTATCTACTTTTCAGCTAGGTGCAAGCTACAAATAAGCAGTTTTTTCAATGAGTGAGATTTCCGAAAAAATCTTTTTTAATTACTATTCAAAAAGCAATTGATTTTGTGTTATAAGAATTCAAAATTTTTTTGACTAGTCTGTGACGATGACAAAAACACTAATAAGTAAATCTTTGGATCACTTATCAATATGTTATCTAGTTTTCAGCTAGGTGCAAGCTACAAATAAGCAGTTTTTTCAATGAGTGAGATCTCACCTTCGACATGTCGTTTTTTCGTAAAATCACTCACTATTTTGTCTAAACATAATCACTCACGGTCAGTTCCATTAAACTTATCTTTTGGCGGATCAATACAAAACCGAAAATTCTTAATCTACGAACGAGGTTGACGATTTAGGACGAGTTTGCGCCAGGAGTTGTTGTATTTTCGACTTTAATGCGCATATGCATGGACTATTGATGCACAAATCGATGTGTTGACGTTGTCAACAATGGGTTCACTGTGCTTAATAAAATATTGGTAGTTGTGTAATTGGGTCTGCGGTCATTGAGGATTTGATTTACTTGCTATACAGAGGCTGTGGTTTGGTTCAAACTGATGAATGCGTAAACAAATCGCTATTGTGCAAACTGATTAAATTTTAGCACCTTTGTTGGAATTTTTACCTTTACGGGGTTTTGTCAAGGTTTCGAGTAGTTGATAAAAATGTTAATTAATAGATTCATACAGTTAGAAATTAAAACACGAAGGATCCATTCTTTTCATTTCGTGCTTATTATAGTTTTGCAGTCAAGTACTTCGCAATTATTCATCAAATCATCAGTTTCAATCACAGGTTTTGATCCTTAAACTAAAATCAAAGGAAAGCAACTTAAAGGAGTGCTTTGAATAATAAAGAACATCTATACTTAGTATACTTAGCAGTTTTAGCACTAATATTAAATCAGATGAATTTTTTTTGGAAAAATTCTGTCTCAAAAATGAACAATTAAGGTAAACTGTTTCAAACGAAAACGTTTAATAAAAATTCTGACCTTTTCAAAGTTAAATATGCATGTATTTATATTTATCAAAAAAAAAGTTCATTAAAATATCTACCTAATCGTCTACACTTCTCAGCTGATAAAATGTATTTACAATACACTCAAATAAACCAAATGTGTACATATTTTAACAAGAAGCATATATTTTCATGCAAATGTGTCTATTTAAGGAAATAAATTATTTCGTCGATGTTGATAAAGAATAAATTATGTATTTATCTATCCTTAAAAAATACATATAACGAAAAATGTTTTACTCTCTTTTTTTAATGAAACCAATATTTTTTAATTTTTTTAACATACAGTATTATGTCCCATAAACCTTTTTCGGT